AAAAGGGAGCTTGCAGAAAGGGGGCGCTGGCTGAGAGGTCACGTCAGGGAATGCCTGGAGGAAGTGACATTTAAACTGAAATACAGCAGAGAAAGAGCCAGCAAAGCAAGAGGGTGGAGCCGTGAGGTTACTGGCAGAGTGGCTGGCGCCTTGGGGCTGAATGGAGCTTGGCCTGGAAAAGGTAGTGGGGGTGGGAGGGGGGTGCTGGGCCAGAGGAGCCGAGGGAGCCAGGGAGGAGCTGAAGTTGGGGCGGAGGCTGGAGCCAGCTCAGCTGGGGCCTCGTAAGCCGTGGCTGGGGTTCTGATGTTTGCTATTTAAGCCAGCACCTACTGGAGGGTCTTGGGGAGTGACATCCTGATCTTTTGGCTCAGGCCTTGGAAACACCCCCCATTAACAAACCAAAGGGGCTTATAGTGGGGACCCAGGGTCCGGGAGGCTGTCCCCTCCACGCCTCTCATCACCTTGTCTAATCCAAGTGTGGGCCTCTCAAAGGACAGGAGGTCTTGCTCAAACATTGATTTACTCCAGCACCCCGAGAGAGAAAAAAACATCACTTGTACACTTTCAAAGTCATGTAGTGTGTGTGTAAAAATTGTAAAATAAAATACAGGGCATCAGAGAGATTTCTCTATGGCTGTGTGTGGTTTTGGCATATGCTTCAAGGTCTTTTCTGTAATGTGGGATATTTAGGAGGAAAAATATAAGAAATGCTGACATAATGGAAAGCATTTGGGTACTAGGGTCAGCCAAACCCAAGTTCAAATATAACTTCTACCACTAACTAGTTGTGTAAACATAAGTAAATTAGCCTCTCTGAGTTTCAGTGTCTTCTATAAAATGGGGGGAAACAGCAGGGGCAGGAAGCAAGGGGCATGGATTAAGCACAGTCTTCAGAGGCATACAACATGGGTTTGAACGCCATCTCCATTAATCCCTGACGGTGTGACTCTGAGTAGATAACTTCACTTCTTGGAGTATCTGTTTTTTCCTCTGGAAAAAAAAAAATGGGACAGTAAGGGCTCAAGTAAGCTTCATAGGACTTAGGTAAGCTTCATATAAAACAATGCAGTAGGCTGGATGCGGTGGCTCACGCCTGTCATCTCAGCACTTTTGGAGGCCGAGACGGGTGGATCGCTGGAGTCCAGGAGTTCAAGACCAGCAGGTGACATGGCAAGACCCCATTTCTACAAAAAAAAAAAAAAATTAGCTGGGCATGGTGGCATACTCCTGTAGTCCCAGCTACTCGGGAGGCTGAGGAGGAAGGAACACTTGAGCCCGAGAGGTGGAGGTTGCAGTGAGCTGAGATCATGCCACTGCACTCCAGCCTGGGTGACAAAGTGAGGGAAAAAAAAAAAAAAATGTAGATACAGGGCTTCACACAGTGCCTGGAACATTGTAGGTGTGTAATAAGGTGGGTTTGCTTCTGCCTTGGTTTCCCCATCTGTAACTGAAGAGGTTGGATTAGATGGTTCCCTGAGGCCCTCCCCAAGTTCGTGATTCTAAATGTATTTAAAAGGTGCAAGCTGACAGTGGTGGCACACTCCTGTAGGTCCAACTACTTGGGACAGAAGGCTGAGGCAGGAGGATCACTTGAGCCCAGGAGTTCAAGGCTGCAGTGAGCTCTTGCACCATGCACTCCAGCCTGGGCAACAGAGCAAGACCCCCATCCCTAAAGAGAAAAGAAAAATAAAGAAAGGCCCTGGAAGAGTTAATCTGCCTGGATTCCTTGGGGCCTTAGTGCCCCTCTAAGCACCCTGCCCCCAGGCTTTCTCGACACCATTGTGTAGAGAATGGGGTGAGGGTGGGGCAGGGCACAAGCTGGGAGCAGGGCTATTTGGAGCCTTGTTTTTCTTGGAGGTGCTGTGGAGGCAAGGAGACTCTCCTCTCCCTCCCTTCCTCTAGGTTTGGAACTAGAATCTAGTCTCCCCGCCTTTATTTCCAAAACATTTCCTGGCTGTAGCTCCCAGCACTCCTCTGGGACTCCAGGAGCCTTCAGGCTCCAGCTCAGAAAACCCTTCCTCCCTGTGTGTCTCAGACACACACCCCTCCACCCAGGCACTGGGGCCTACCCCGAACCACCTTTTGCAGAGACGCATTCCCTCTTTGTCCAGAGAAGCTGGTGCAAGGCCATTGTGGGCAAGAGAGCAAATCCACCTTCCTCTTGTGGAGCCTGTGTGGCTGGGCGTGGAGGTCAGAAGAGAGAGGGGAGCTGTCAACGGTGACAGATGGTTCCCTTTCTCGCCCTCTCTCGTCCGGCTGGCTCTCTTTTCTGCCTGTCTTCAGCTAGCTGTTTGCAGGATTCTCATCTGCCTTGAAGACTTGCTTCCACTTCCTTCCTCCCTCTCTCCCTACTGCAAAATGTTTGTAGACTGCAACTTTCCAAATCATTTCGAACCTGCTTTAAAAATTCAGTTTCTATTCTGGGGGTCCCAGATGTGCTGCAGCTCACAAATAAGGCTAACCAGTTTTCCCAGACCCTCATCATGTAGACAAGGGAAAGAAATGATGATTCACAGGGCCTGGGGAGTGTCTAGGCCATAGTTCTCCAAAAAGCACCTGTCATTTATGTAACATTTCCCTGATGTTTGCTATATCTGCCTACCACCTCTACTATTATTTATGTAACCTAGTTTGAGCAAGTGTGACATCAGAAATATAATCAAACTGCGTCCTTATTTTTTCCTACCCCTCCCTACTTATAATTTAGTCTGTGAGGGGAGCTCCTCCTCCCCCTGATTGAAGTCTCCACTCCCTGGCAACCCTTCCATCCGAAGGTGAGGTTTCTTCCTGCTCCCCCAGGGAAGGTGTGAAACGGGCAAGGCCATCTGCTCCCCTTGTCAGCTCACCTCTTTCCAAGTTGAAGGGAGGCGAGGTACAAGGACAGGAGGAGGATTTCTAGATGTTTCATGACTGGGGTGGGCCTAGACTACTCTGCATCTCTGTGCCTGGCAGACATTTAAAGCTATCTTTTCCATGAGGGCCTTTTGCAGGCTCTTTGGGAGTTACAATTTTGGGCCCTGTGATTGTCACACTGCTGGGATGTGGGCAGTGAACATTTTCCTTTCTCTACAAGCCCAGGCCTTCCCCTCAGCATCTGTTTCCAGGGTTAAAGATCCTGGAGGGGGCAGGAGGAGAGGTATGGTCAGCCTGTTTCTGAGGGGAACAGCCAGAGGCAGCCAGAAATCCTGGACAGGCTCTCCAAGAGCCAGGGGCCAAGCAGAGTCTGAAGGGAAAGGAGATTGAAGGCCCAGAAGGAAAAATGAGTTCCAAAGGTCAATGCCTGAGCAATGCCCCTGCCGTGCAGCCAGGACCACAGCTGCTGAGGATCCCCCTAATACTCAAACATCTGATTGGATAGCCACAGGCTGAGTGAGGACTATGAAGCCCACAGGGCTTTGTATCTGGAAAGAGAACAGATTAAAGTCTGAAAGGCTCAGCATTGAAGCTAGAAGGGACCCTAGAGACCATCTACTCTAGTGGTTCCCAAAACAAGGTCTCTGAACCTCCATCAGCAGCAACACTTGGAAACTTATTAGAAATGCAAACGATCCAGCTTCACCCCAGAACTAATGAATCAGAAACTTTAGGGATAAGGCCCAACAACCTGTGTGTTAGTTAACAAGCCCTCGAGGTGAGTGTGATGCGCACTGAAGTTTAGGAACCACTGCTCTAGTCCAGCCCCTGTTGTTCAGGTGAGGAAACTGAGGCCCAGAGAGGGAAAAGGGTTTGCCTAAGGTCACAAAGCAAGTTACCATTTCATAGTTTATCTCCATGGCAGGAAGTCCTGCCTGGGATGTTCCCCCTCCTGGTTTCATTCCTGAGAGAGAGGCTGTTAATTGCAAAGCAACGGAACTGATTTGTTGAGAGATCTTGGGCAAGTTGCTTATTTCTGCTCTGGGTCTCAGTTTCTGCGTATGCACAGTGAGGGCAGGGAGTAGATACCTCCGGGTGTATAGCACACTGATCTCCGGTGGGATCGTGCTGTTGCTGCCATCAGCCTTAAGGACACGGTCTAGCCTGGGACAGGAGGGCACAGGCTCTGGATCTGGATGGCCTGGTTCAAACCTTAGCCCTGCCAGCTACTCATCGCGTGATGTAGACCAGAAGCGTCCAGTCTTTTGGCTTCCCTGTGCCACATCGGAAGAAGAATTGTCTTCGGCCACACATAAAATACACTAACATTAACAATAGGTGATGAACTTTTAAAAATCGCAAAAAATATCTCATGATGTTTTAAGAACGTTTACAAAACTTGTGTTGGGCTGTATTCAAAGCCATCCTGAGGTGCATGCGGCCCACAGGCTCCGGGTTGGAAAAGTGTGATGTAGACACATTGCTCACCTTCTCTGAGCCTCCGCTTCCTCTCCTGTATCTATTCTATAAGGGTATTGTGAAGATCAAGTAATGAATGGAAAGCTCTTAGCACATGCCTGGCGCACAGGAAGCACCTGGGGAAGGAGCTGCTACCGGCCCGCCAAGGTCGCTCAGGTGATGGTTGACCTCCACTCAGTAACTGAATCCTCAGCCCTCCTCATGCGCAACCCTGAGTCTCCCGTGAGAAGCAGACTACTTACAAAGTCACCTACAATTCAAACATTTCTACCCTTGTAGAACTGTAACTTTCTATTCATGCCATAGATTTGGATGAAACCATGGATCATTTCTCTCCATTCACAGCTCCTCCCAGTCACCAGTCTCTGGGTCATAAGGTCTGCATCCATTTCAGCCACTCTGGGGGATGATGGTCTGATGATGAGTGCCTCACCCCCGAGACCCCTTCAAAGTGTATTCTGGGTAATGACTCCACTCACCCAAATACTTCCTCAAGATATGATGACTCTGTCCACATCACATCTACTTGTATGTGATGCAGGAAAGAGCAAGAGACAGAAATCCAGTTGAGTGTATCCCAGCTGCCTCCTCCTGTGCATCCCCTCTGACCAGACCCAGGCCAGCTTGGTGGCCACACTCACCTGTCACAGCTCTCTTGCCTCCCACAGGTGACCACCATGATCCCCTGGGTGCTCTTGGCCTGTGCCCTCCCCTGCGCTGCTGACCCACTGCTTGGCGCCTTTGCTCGCAGGGACTTCCGGAAAGGCTCCCCTCAACTGGTCTGCAGCCTGCCTGGCCCCCAGGGCCCACCCGGCCCCCCAGGAGCCCCAGGGCCCTCAGGGATGATGGGACGAATGGGCTTTCCTGGCAAAGATGGCCAAGATGGACAGGACGGCGACAGGGGGGACAGCGGAGAGGAAGGTAAGAGGCCTGCACCTGCCCCTCTCGTTCCCACCTGACTGACAGCATCCGGCATGCGAGGGATGTCATGAAGTTGATAAAACTAGTATTAATCCTCTTCATTATAAATCAGATTACTGTTTACTTATAAACAAAGCTATATATATATATATATATTCCCCCCCACCTTGAGACAGAGGCTTGCTCTGTTGCGCAGGCTGGAGTGCAGTGGTGTGATCTCAGCTCACTGCAACCTCTGCCTCCTGGGATCAAGCAATTCTCCTGCCTCAGCCTCCTGAGTAGCTGGGGCTACAGACGCATGTCACCATACCTGGCTAATTTTTGAGTTTTTTTAAGTAGAGATAGGGTTTCACCATGTTGGCCAGGCTGGTCTCAAACTCCTGATCTCAAGTGATCCATCTACCTCACCCTTCCAAAGTGCTGGGATTACAGGCATGGGCCACTGTGCCCAGCCTCAGAGCAGTTTATTCTGAAAGGAACATGGGTATTGAATTTTGTATTCCTGCCCCTGGTGCACCTTTGGGTTGCTAAGTGACTTTGGAAAAGTCTCCCAAAATATTACTCAGAACTCTTGACAACTGCAAGTGACAGAAACCCAATTTATAGTCCCAAATGGAATGTATTAGCTCATAAAACTGAGACATCAGGCCAGGCGCGGTGGCTCACACCTGTAATCTCAGCACTTTGGGAGGCTGAGGTGGGCGGATCACTTGAGGCCAGGAGTTCAAGACCAGCCCGGCCAACATGGCAAAACCCCATCTCTACTAAAAATACAAAAAATTAGCCAGGCCTGGTGGCGCACGCCTGTAATCCCAGCTACTCTGGAGGCTGAGGTAGGAGAATTGCTTGAACCCGGGAGGCCGAGGTTAGAGTGAGTTGAGATTGCGCCACTGCACTTCAGCCTGGGCAACAGAGCAGGATCCTGTCTCAAAAACAAAACAAAAACAAAAACAAAACAAAACAAAAAACACACACACAAAACAAAAACAAACAAACAAAAAAAACAAAACTGAGACATCCAAGAGCCAAGCTCCAGGAATAGCTGAGTCCAGGAGCTCAAATATCATTGTCAGGGCTCTGCTTCTCTCTGTGTTTGTTGCATCCTCACAAAGGCTGGAAGTTCTGAAATAGCAACTGCTGGGCTCAGGCCCACATCTTCCTGGCTTCATCCACAGAGCAAATCTCAGAACAGCCAATTTTCCTTGGCCACATGTGTATCCTGGACCAATTCCCTTGACCAAGGAGGTGAAGTGCCGCCGTTTGCAGGGCAGACTCATGGGGCCACCCCTGCGTGCGTGTGTGTGTATGCGTGTGTGTGTGTGTGAGTCATTGTGACTGACAGCCCTGCTAGGACCATATGAAATGAAATGGTGAACGGCAGCTCCCCAAAGGAAGGGATGCCAGGCAGACGGCAAGCAGAATGGATATACTCTACAGACCTTTCCGTTGTGACATTCTTTATATCTCCAAACTTTCACCCCAGCAACCAAGCACTTTTCAGTGTCAGCAGCATTCCCTAAGCCTACATTTTAAGCAGTAGAGAAATATAATAATTTTTATTTGTATGGCATTTTCATGTTGACAAAGCACTTTTGAGCATGTTGCCCATCTGACCATCCATATCCTGTGCCGGAGGGATTCTTATTTTCGCCATGTTGCAGATGAGGATACTGAGAGTCAGAGTGATTCAGTTGAGAGCAAAATGTCATCCCTGCAAGAACATGAACTTTGGAAACAAACCTGGATACTGATTTTGGCAAACTATTTAACCTCTCTCCAAACCATAGTTTCCTCATCTCTAAAATATGGATAATAATAGCACCTGTCTCACAGGGTTGTGGTAAAGATGAAATAAAACAGTGTATGAAGCACCTGTCTCAGCATAGACATACAATAAATGTTAGGCACCCTGTAATTGACTTATTGAGCTCACATAACACACAGATAGTTGACTGCAAATCCAGGTCTTTTCCTACCACACCAAACTAATTCCTTCAAAAGTACCTCCTCCCCAGGAGATTAGTATAAAAGTAACCATCATAGCTTTGACTGGTGGTGTGTGGGTGGGGGGCTTTTCCAGCGTGCTGGGCACTGGCATCATGATATCCAATTTCCTGACCACAACGGCAGACTCAGGTCTGGACATGAGCTCCAAGCAGGCCAGCTAGAGTTTTTCCTGAGATTTGCCTATGGATCCTGAGGGACAGAGTCTCTGCTGTTGACTTTTTCCCCAAATAGATAAAGCTTACCAGGAAGTTCTACCGTGTACTGGGGCTGCCTTTGGCCATCTCTTCTGCTATGTGTTGAGTCTCTGCAGAGAAGGAAGCCACCACACCAAGGAAGGCGGTGTTGGGAGCCCAGCACATGTAACCCAGACGAAGCTTGTCACCCTGGGGCCAATTCAGGATAACATCCAACCGCCCCCCATCACCACACACACAAATTCACCTCCAGAAAAGTCTTTCAAGAGTAAAGTCAGCTTTTCCTGAAGTCTCTCAAAAAAGGTAATGAAGAGGAGGCCGGGCGCGGTGGCTCACGCCTGTAATCCCAGCACTTTGGGAGGCCGAGACGGGCGGATCACAAGGTCAGGAGATCGAGACCATCCTGGCTAACACGGTGAAATGCCGTCTCTACTAAAAAGTATACAAAAAACTAGCCGGGCGAGGTGGCGGGCACCTGTAGTCCCAGCTACTCGGGAGACTGAGGCAGGAGAATGGCGTGAACCCGGGAAGCGGAGCTTGCAGTGAGCCCAGATCGCACCACTGCACTCCAGCCTGGGCGACAGAGCGAGACTCCGTCTCAAAAAAAAAAAAAAAAAAAAAAATTGAAGAGGAAAGCACATTATATAGTTCATGGTAGGACTTCCCGGTAAGCTTTCTTACCTATTTGTCTCCCACCAAAAACCCCAAGTCAAAATGACTTGGGGGCTGCATGGTGGCTCATGACTGTAATTTCAGCACTTTGGGAGGCCGAGGCAGGAGTACTGGGAGGCCAGGAGTTTGAGACCAGCCTGGGCAACATAGGGAGGCACCATCTCTACAAAAAATTTTAAAATTAACCAAGCATGGTGGTATGTGCCTAAAATCCCAGCTACTCAGGAGGCTGAGGCAGGAGGATGACTCAAGCCCAAGAGTTTGAGGTTACAGTGAGCTATGATCGCACCACTGCACTCCAGCCTGGGTAACAATGTGAGACTATCTCTAAAAAAAAAAAGATTCTGTCTCTACTCCTCTTCTCTGGGCCCCTTTTCCCACCTTTTGTCTATTTTCATTTTTTCAAGAGTTTTGTGACTTTTCTTAGTTTTATCTTTTCCCATTCTGTTTATTTTTAATTATATAAGTAATATACAAACACAGTCTCACTGTAATATATTCAAACAATATACATAAAGCAAAAGTCCTCCTTACTTACTACCCCTTCTCATCCTCCCCTCACCCTCCAGAGGTAACCACTATTAATTGGTTAGGTGTGTATGTTTCCTGGCCTTTTTCTGTGTATTTACATATGTGTTTAATAATACTAGGCATTGTCAGGCATTTAACATAAGCACTCGGTTGCTGAAAATCAAGTGTTCAGTAACAAAATGCAATTTGGAAACCTATTTCCGAATTACGTAAAATAGGAAAAATTCAGATGCATTACAGATTAACTCAGAACTCTAAAACACAGTGAAATGCCTACATACATATGTATAAGAAACAAAGCAACTTGTTAGGATGGAAAATGCCTGAAACATTACTTCCTTGACCACACAGTTTGTATGGGTGACATAACCTTGTATCAGTGAACTCAAGTCATTATCCACATAGGTTTTGTTTAAAATGTTGAGTTGAAGGGACATAAACTAAATTGATTTTATACAATCAGTAGCCAAAAATGTTGTATTGAGAGAAATGTGCATTTTATGAAATATGAGTATGAAACATCAAAAAGCGTTCTAAAGGAAAACACAATTGGGGGAATTGTTCTGCAGGGAATGCCAGCTAGTATTTAGGGAATGTTTGCTATAGGCCAGGCACTCTTCTATGCATTTAAATGGGTGTAGAAATATTTAGCATTGTGGATTCCTTTTGTTTTCCTAATTTTTATTTTTTAGAGACAAGATCTCACTCTGTTGCCCAGGCTGGAATGCAGTGACACAATCAGAGCTCACTGTAACCTGGAACTCGTGGGCTCAAGGGATCCTCTCACCTCAGCCTCCCAGGTAGATAGGGCTACAGGCGCACGCCACCATGCCTGACTAATTTTTATATTTTTTGTAGAGATAGTGTCTGGCTACATTGCCCAGGCTGGTCTCAAACTCCTGGCCTCAAGCGATCCTCCAGTCCCAGCTTCCCAAAGTGCTGGGATTACAGACATGAGCCACCATGCCCAGCCTGGCTTCCTTTAAACATAAAGGGTCTGGCCACCTGCTCTTTCCTCTTAGTATATGTTAGAGAAGGTTTCATAGAGCACACGTAACTCTACTTTTCTTTTTTTTTTTAACTCCTGCATAGAAATCCACAGTATGAATGGACCATAATTTTTTTAATCATTTTCTTTTGGATGGGCATTTAGTTGTTCCTATTTTTTGCTATTGTAAGCAATGCTGCAATAAAATCCTTGTACACGTGGGCAGGGCTTGTATGCACTAGGCAGGGATTTTACTAAGATCAATGTGTTGAAATCAAGGGACTTTTTCTAGTTCTCTTCTCAACCCATTACCAGCACAGCCCGTGGAAGGATTGATCTGGCAGACAGACCAGACCCTTCCTTAGAAGGCAGGAAAAGGAAAGGGTGTGAACTTTTTGCCCTGATCCACAGTGATTTTTGAAGGTAAGTATCATCATTTCCATTTTCCAGATAGCTAGCATTAGGATTTACGCCCACTTCTATGTGTCTCCAAAGCCTTCTTGTTCTTTGCATTACCCAAGCACTCCTTCTCCAAGGTTGGAAAACCAAGGCGCACCCCTCTGCCTAGGTCTGTGAGGACCCTCCATAACATCAGCTGCTCTGTCTTCCAGGTCCACCTGGCCGGACAGGTAACCGGGGAAAGCCAGGACCAAAGGGCAAAGCCGGGGCCATTGGGCGGGCTGGCCCCCGTGGCCCCAAGGGGGTCAACGGCACCCCCGGGAAGCATGGCACGCCAGGCAAGAAGGGGCCTAAGGGCAAGAAGGGGGAGCAGGGCCTCCCAGGACCCTGCAGCTGCGGCAGTGGCCATACCAAGTCAGCTTTCTCGGTGGCAGTGACCAAGAGCTACCCACGGGAGCGGCTGCCCATCAAGTTTGACAAGATTCTGATGAACGAGGGTGGTCACTACAATGCTTCCAGCGGCAAGTTCGTCTGCGGCGTGCCTGGGATCTACTACTTCACCTACGACATCACGCTGGCCAACAAGCACCTAGCCATCGGCCTGGTGCACAACGGCCAGTACCGCATCCGGACCTTTGATGCCAACACCGGCAACCATGATGTGGCCTCGGGCTCCACCATCCTGGCTCTCAAGCAGGGTGACGAAGTCTGGCTGCAAATCTTCTACTCAGAGCAGAATGGGCTCTTCTATGACCCTTACTGGACAGACAGCCTCTTTACGGGCTTCCTAATCTACGCCGACCAGGATGACCCCAACGAGGTATAGACATGCCAGTGTGGTCCGCCAGGCAGGGAGCAAGCTTCTGGACTTGGGTTTACAAAGCAAGACCCCTCAACTGTAGGCTGGGGGTGGGGGGTCCAGTGAGCAGTTCTAGCCTCAGGCTGACCTCCTCTGCCTCTTTTTTTCCCCATCATTAAATCCAAACCTTTTTATTCATCCGACCATCTATTTATTCACTTCTTTTTAAAGTATCTACTATGTAACAGGCACTATGCTATTCTCTGAAAGGCGCAGCAGTGGACAAGACAGAGCATCTGTCCTCATGCGGCTTACATTCTAGCAGGAGATACAATTTACAAATAACCAAGCAGATAATATAATATTATGCCAGGATAGAAATGAACATGCCATGGTTGACAGTAATAGGAATAACAGGAGACAGGGAAGAGGTGGAAATTTGTTTCTTTTTGTTTGTTTGTTTGCCTTTTTAGGTTTACTTACATACAGTGACTCTCCAAATTTTAAGTTGACAGCTCAGTGAATAATTTTTACTTATGTGCACACCCTGAAACCTCCATGTAGATCGAAGAATAAGCTATTTCCAGCCTCTCACCTCCCTTCCCCAAAGGCTCTCTTAAGACCCCTCTAAGTCAGTACCTGGAAAAGTTCCATTTTTTAGCTGAGTTCCAAAGAAGGAAATAGAGCAATGCAAAGGCCTCGGAAAAGAGGTCTCCCAGCAAAAGACTCTGCAAGTGCAAAGACTTTGATGGAAAAGAGGGAGGGGCCAACGTCAGAACTGAGAAACGAGGCATGAGGCGTGAGGCTGGAAGATAATACAGAACCTCCCAGGCCATGGCAGAGGTCGTTCCACTCACAAAGGCTTATCAGAATGCAAAGTGAGCACGACACTGATAAGCGGATCATCTTGAATCTGCTCAATGCATGAGTCAAGTCGGCCACAGACTTGAGCACTTTATTATTAGTTAATCTTTTGCAGGTCCGCTTCTCAATGAATGAGATACACCAGGGTATGCACGTACACCTGAGAACCGCTGCTCTAAGATGGCAGGAATGGATCCCACGCAAATGAATCTCACCCCAAGCCCAGGTGTTTCCAGTATGCAGGGATCTGAGGGTTTAAGAAGCTGCAGTAAAAGTGCCAGGTGCTGGCTGGATGTGGTGGCTCAGGCCTGTAATCCCAGGACTTTGGGAGGCTGAGGCAGATGGATCACTTGAGGTCAAGCGTTCAAGACCAGCTTGGCCAACGTGGCGAAATGTTATCTCAAAAAATACAAAAATTAGACAGGCATGGTGGTGGGCACCTGTAATCCCAGATACTGGGGAGGCTGAGGCGGAAGAATTGCTTGAACCTGGGAGGTGGAGGTTGCAGTTAGCTGAGATCATGCCACTGCACTGCAGCCTGGGCAACAGAATAAGACTGTCTCAAAAACAAAAGGCAGGTATTGAGAGCCCCATGAAACAATTTGCTGGAGAGAATTTTCAGTTGAAGCCACAGCTCCCTAGCAGCTTTCTCTGGCTGCCCGCCTAGAGAGATACTCAGGGACAGTGATGGCTGCACAGGATGGTTCTGGAAGGAGTGGCCATCTCCATAAGTAAAATGGGGTTTATTTAAAATAACTCCATTTTCTCTGGGCCATAAATGGTTTGGGATTGGGGTGGGTCTGAAAAATTCAGGAAAGTCTTTCTGACCCAATCAGATTGACGTGTGGGTTGGGGTCCCCTGCAGCACCCCTGTGGGAAGAGGTCAGCTTTGGCCAGTGAACAGTTCTTTTTTCCTTTTCTTTTTCTTACAAATACAACTTTTAGAAGAGCCTTTTGCTTCTTCCTCTTCCTTCCCCCAGGGATATAGGTATTTGAAGGCATTTGACTTAACCCTTTGTAGCCCAGGTAATAAATCCAAACTCAGCAAGATGGGCTGGACCCCAGAGCTCTGTGGTTGCCACTTTTTGGCCCATATTGAACCGATGTCCCCTTGGCCAGGGACTCCTCAGGGAAAGTGTGGGAATGATGGGGGAAGACTCGGCACTCTTTTGTAGAGGGTGGGGCAGATGATAGCAGAGACCTTCCAGGGCCCAGGGCTGGGGTCTTGTCTTCCTTGGATGTGGTCTAGGGTTGCTGCAGATGGTGGGTTTGTGGCAGGGGGGGCAGAAGCAGATGATGCAGTTGAGGCAGGTCTCTGGTAGCTAGTGATGTCAAGGATGAGCTCCCCTTTATCCCCTGACTCTTCTGAGGATGGCTGCCTCCTTGGTGAGCCACTTGGAGGTCTCAGGCTGATGATGCAGGATGGTGACCCAGATGAGGAAGGGGCTCCAAGGTGGTGGCCTTCCCAGATGCACTGGGCCCCAGCCCTTCTTCCTAGCTATGGCTGATTGCCATGGGCTTCAGCAACCAGGGCCTACCTGTAGATCTCCATGTATGTAAGCACCACAGAACCCAGTGCATCTTTGTGCTCTCAAATCGCCCTTGATCCAGAGGTATTTTCTCATTTAGAACACACTTTGAAAGGCGGCCATTCCCCTTCTGGAGAAAACCTGGAGAATCTGCAGCTCCCATGATTACAGTGCAAAGAGCACGAGACACACAAGGCCCTCACAGGCCAGCCCCACCCTGGGTGGAGCCTCAGGGCTCACCTGACAAATGATGGGGGTCGCACTCTGTGTATCTAGGGGGGGCCTTGTGGGCTGACTTCTGCATCAGGACTATGATGAGGGTGGGGGAGGGCAATTGAGGCACTCACCTCATGCACAAAATGTAAGAGAGTGACAAAAACCTCAGTAATCAATAGAAATATATGTATATATATTTTTGAGACAGGGTCTTGTTCTGTCCAAGGCTGGAGTGCAGTGGCACGATCACAGCTCACTGCAGCCTCAACCTCCTGGGCTCAATTGATCCTCCCACCTCAGCCTTCTGAGAAGCCGGAACTATAGGCCTGTGCCACCATACACAGCTAATTTTTAAATTATTTGTAGAGATGGGGGTCTTGCTATGTTGCCCAGGCTAGTCTCAAACTCCTAGTCTCAAGTGATCCTCCCGCCTCAGCCTCCCAAAGTGCTGGGATTACAGGTATGAGCTAGCGCACCTGGCAGAAATAATTTTTTTTTTTCAAAATGGAATCTTGCTCTGTCACCTAGGCTGGAGTGCAATGGTGCAACCTCAATTCACTGCAACCTCCGCCTCCCTGGTTCAAACGATTCTTGTGCTTCAGCCTCCCTAGTAGCTGGGATTACAGGCGCCCACCACCATGGCTGGCTAATTTTTTTTTTTTTATTTTTAGTAGACACGGGGTTTCACCATGTTGGCCAGGCTGGTCTCGAACTCTTGACCTCAAAAGATCCACCCGTCTCAGCCTCCCAAAGTTTTGGGATTATAGGCGTGAGCCACCACCTCCAGCCAGAAATAATATTTTAATACAATATTTTAATAAATCAAAATTAACCAAAAAACTGTGATACAATATCAAAATGTTAAGTAAAGATGAGATCTGACAAGGCCGGGATCAGGGCGAGGTAAGGGAGGGCGAGTCATGCAAGAGCAGCTGGATCCTGGTGTCCATCCGCATCTCTGGAGACTTTGGCAGCCAGGCCTCGCAGGTGGAAAGGCTTTTTTTCCCTCCTGCCTGTCATCTTCAGTCGTGCCACTAGGGGGAGAACGTCGACTACACAAACCTCCAGGCCTGCGGCATGGAGGCTGGGAGATCCACCCTCGTCTCAGGCTGTTTTCTAGATTGCCTATCACAAAGCAGGTTGTTGTTCAGTCCGTTGAAGATCTATTTCAATTCAGCAGACATGTCCTGAGCACTCACTGAGGCACGGCTGGAGATTGCACCCGGGGTCCCCAAACCAGGTGGGGAGTCAGATCTATCTGGCACCACAACCTCATTCAGCAGCAGAACCTCCTGCGGGGACGGCTGCCATGCGCTTTCATAAAAGCTCCTCAGCCGATTCTAACCCGCAGCCAGCTTTGCCAAGCCCTGGGCCGGGCTGAGGGGAAAACTAACACAGGAAAGACTCCAGTTCTGCCCTTCAAGGGAGGACACTGTGTGTGCCTGCCTTGTCCTGGTGTCGCTTCCACAGCTGACCTCAGGCCGGGGTGGCGTTGAGAATGGAGCAGAGTGTGGGTTTGAAGGTCACCTTGCAGGCCCAACTCCTCAACTACAGCATCTGAGGGTGCTCCCGACGAACTCTGTGGCTCCCCAACACTCTTCTCTCCCTGCTCCAGAGACAGAGACCCAAAAAGAATTTCTCAGAAGGAGGCGGGCGCGGTGGTTCACGCCTGTAATCCCAGCACTTTGGGAGGTTGAGGCGGGGGGGATCACTTGAGGTCAGGAGTTCGAGACCAGCCTGGCCAACATGGTGGAAACCCCGTCTCTACTAAAAATACGAAATATATATATATATATTCGCCGGGCATGTTGACAACTGCCTGTAATCCCAGCTACTCGGGAGGCTAAGGCACGAGAATTGTTTGAACCCGGGAGGCAGAAGTTATGGTGAACCGAGATTGTGCCACTGAACTCCAGCCTAGGCAACAGAGTGAGACTCCGTTTCAAATAAAAGAAGAATTTATCAGAAAGAGCCCAAAGATGGCTCTGGAAAATGGTGGGGTTTGTTTTTTTAGTTTTTATTTTTTAAACATTCTCCATCTACTTTATACTTTTGCCTCAGATTGGCCCTGATTTAAAAACGATAATAAAGAGTTCAACTTCATCACAGGTGTTTATTTTTGCTGATGCCCTTGCAAGCTTCCACCACTCATTTATCCCCACCCCAAGTGGTTTTCAAGCTGATCCTGACAGAGATCCGAAATGGCTTCCTCATGTGAAATGTCCATATTCTATTTGGGGCTCTCTTATCCCATAAAACACACTTAATGTGTGAGCTTCAGGACATGGAGATCAAGGGCCTCAGGGTGAAAGGCTAACGGGGTATTAATCCTCAACCTCATCACCGTTTCCTGTCACTTGGCAGAACTGTATGGGCAAATCACTTTTGAAAAGCTCCTCATTCCCTGGTGTTGAGTCTGGTTCTAGGCATCCTACGACCTGAACCCGAGGAGGGTGTAGAGGGTCTAGAAGTGCCACCTGCTATAGGAGTGTTGGCTGTTTAGCCTTGAGGAGAGAAGACTGGGAGTCCTGAAGGCACCTGCCCACCCCTGCAAGGTGGTCTCAGGGTAGAAGGCGCTGACTGCTTTGAAGAGCTGCAGACGGCAGAACTGAAACAACCGGTGGACTTTATCAAGAGGCCAATTGGGGCCAGTTTGTTTATGCACCAGATAGTTATTGAACTTCAGCTATGTGCCAAGCAGTGACTTAGGCACAGAGGAATCACGGGACCAGCAAAACAGATATGGTCTCTGTTCTCCTGGAGCTTAGAGTCTAACACAGGTGACAGACTTTGCAAAAATGACCACACCAATAAATGTAAGATGCCAGCTGTGGCATGATGCCATGAGAATGGCAAGGTGAGGATTTGTCCTGGTGAGACTGTAGGGAGTAGCACTGGTGGAGTAACAGCAGAGCTGAAGGGCAAGTGGGAGTTGGCAAGGCAGGCTGGGTGGAGAAGGCTTTCCAGGGAGGGGCATGGCAGGCAAAGGCCCCGTGGTGGGGCAAAGCATGGCAGAGGGGAAGAATCAAAGAAGCCCCTCCCCAGGTCATGGGGGCAAAGTGTGCAAGGGGAGAAGATGAGGGGGCAGGGCCCAGACCTTGAAGGCTGATAGGTCAAACTAAAGATGTCTGTCTTGACCATGAGAATAACAGGAAACCACAGAATGATTTTAAGTGGGCAAGTGACATAAGCAGACTTGGGTTTTGAGAAGACCACTCTTGCAGCTAAAGGAGAAATATTTCAACTTACCCTATAGAAGAGCTTTCATTTTGTTTGTTTGTTTGTTTGCTTGCTTGTTTTGAGATAGAGTCTTGTTCTTTCGCCCAGGCTGGAATACAGTGATGCCATCTGGGCTCACTGCAACTTCTGCTTCCCAGGTTCAAGTGATTCTCCTGCGTTAGCCTCCCGAGTAGCTGAAATTACAGGCACCTGCCACCACACCCAGCGAATTTTTGTATTTTTAGTAGAGATGGGGTTTCACCATGTTGGCCAGGCTGGTCTTGAACTCCTGACCTCAGGTAATCCACCCACCTGGGCCTCCCACAGTGCTGGGATTACAGGCATGAGCCACATTGCTTGGCTCAGAGGAGCTTTCTGATAGAATGCTAGACCTTGGGAAAGTAATAACAATAAAAGCTAACATTTACTGAGTTCTTACTAGGAATGAAACACTGTGTGCTTTTCATGGATTCATACATTTGGCCTTGAGAACAACATGTAAGGTAGGTGTATTATGATGATCCACTTTTCACAGATGAAGAAATAGAGGCTAGAAGAGGTTCAGAAAGTTGACTGAGATTAGCCAGTTGGAGAAGCTGCAGAG